TTACTTATTTAATGCTGTATTTATTTATTTATTTTGGCACTTTTATCCTCCATATGAAAGAGCTCCTGTGTGTCGCTGAATGTGAGCATTGATGACTGAAAGACATCTTCTGGCTCCATTTATCTGTTTACTACAGTCTGTTGGATTCATGTTAATGTGGATTTAAAGACATTTCAATTAGTGGAAAAAATCACAGGGGGGAATATAAAAAAAAATCTAATCAACCAAAAATTTCGTGACCTCAATGCAGTACCTCTGTGGACCCCCTAGGGGTTGTGGACCCCCTGTTGAAGTCCTCCGGTCTAGAGCCTATTAATAAGAGGAAGTGAAATGCAGCTCCAGACTAGCTTTGAATGTGGTGATGTCATCAGTACGCTTCTGTTCCAATTGATCCAGATTTATTCTGCATGCTCCCGTTCTCCCAGAGTCCGGACTTTCCTGGGTTCTCAAGAACATACTTGTCGAGGAAACTGGTCCGTACTCGTGTTCTAGTGAATTGTAGCCTAGTAAACTAGTCCTGCCCACCAGCGGCCAAAATTTCACATTTTTGCCTGCGAGTGGCCTAGCCTCCATCAATGCCTCAGGCTCTAGAACTGGCGGATGCAAAGTGGGCGGGGCTTTGAGGGCGTGACGACAAAGCTGCGTGACGCTGGAGAAAGCACAACAAGGAAGATGGCAGCAACTATTGAACAGTTCTGGTTTGACTCAGCTTTGGAATCAGTCTGGAAGGATCAGACTTTGGGGTTTTGGTTGAAATGTGAGCAGGAAGAGGCTCTACGCTCATTCATTTTTAAGAAGGAAATATTCGCCGTTTTACCAACAGGTTGTTTGTTTGCACTCCCCCACCAGCTTCAGTGGCTCTCATTGGTCAGAGCGTCGGCCAATTGTCACAGAACTGGTTTGAAAAACAACAGGTTGATCTCATCAACAATCTTCCGATGTCTCATTCATCGGGGCCAGACTAGATTACACTTTTAATCTCACATATAGTCTGGTTTTTTTCAGGCTATGTGAATAGAGAAACAGCTAACAATTTGCTCTCCAGCTATACACCTGTAACGGTCACCACTACTCTGCGAAGATCCTGAATTCAACCGTTGCGTATATTAGCTGCGACATATGAATCAAGATGCTATGACCGAAAGAAATTTGATTGACAGATGACCGTTGATGTATGATTGGATGAATTTAGGTGTTCAGGCTGACGTTTAACTAACTGGCCTGCAGAAGACAAAGGAAAAAAATATTAAAGGCAGGGTTTTAAATATCAATTTTCTAACTTTTGGGACAATATGGTCTGATAAAGAGAACATTTATATACATGTTTAAGCCAGAATGATTTGACATAAAAATATTATTTCTCTATGACTTTAAGGGGTCTTTTTAACCTTCATCTTCTGACCCAAATATATTAAAATCTCCTCAGTAACATCTAAAAATAAGGTCACTTTTTTATTAACATCATCTAAAATAAGTCAAACCCTCTATAAAAAAAATATTGTTTTTTTAGTGCTTCTTAAACTTTCCAGGTTCAATCAGGAAAATACCAACTATGACCGTCTCCAATTATTCTAACTAAAGTTCCCATTGATTGGATTGGTCTCTGCTGTAGAACTAGAACATGAAGAAGTTCCATCTTCTCCTCTGGATGAACAGGAACTCATCCGAGGTTCTGATGGATGTGGGTCAGCGCCGGTTTCAGCTGCTGAGCCACATGTTCGCCGCTCCTGCTGGAGCTTCTCAGGTTCCATGCAGCGACACAGATGGATGATTGACAGATGAGTTACCAAACAGCGTTACCAAACCTCCATGCTGGGCCAGAAGGTCCAGGACCTGCAGGGTGGTTCTGGGCCGCCGGCCCGGTTCTGGGTCCGGTTTGTAGTTTTTGGATGCAGAGCCTTTAAAGCTGGATGTGAAGCAGCATCAGTGGGGCTGAGGATGAAGAGTGTGGTGGTGTGTTGTAAGCAGCAGCCATGGTGGATGGAGGCGGGGGCGGGGGGGTTGATTGACAGGGACAGCCTCTGACTCTGCTTCCTTTTTTTTTTTGTCAGCAGTTATTTAACGGCCTGCAGAGGTTTTTAAACCGTTTAAATCCTCTGCGTCTCCATCAGGAAGAGACGCTTTCATGAAAACGTTTAAAGTTCTGCAGTCGGATGATTTCAGATCGATTCCCATCGAAGCTCGATCAACACCATGACTGGCAGACTGGGGGGGTTTCATAAATGGCTGCCATCTCCCATCATGCCCCCCTGGGTGCCCCCGCCAGCCAATGGGGAGGCTCCGTGAGGCGGTGATGCAGGTTGCCCCCCTGGTATAAAACCCTCCAGCTCCATCTGGGCCCTCCTGAGCAGTTGGAGCATTCCCAGCCTCGCCTCGGGTGGAGGGATTGCGAGGGAAAGCAAAACTACACGGCCTCTCTCTGTGTAGTTTTGTTTTTGTCGGGGAATATTTCGAGGCTCATCCCGTTCATCTTGGATCTTTCTACACAAACCGTTCTGGATAAAGGGGGGTTCTCTCGTTAGTCACTCGGGCTTCGTCCCTTCTCTTCCAGGCACTCTTGTGGAAACAAGTAAGTAGATGTGACTGTGTGGTTTGATCAGGGAGCCGGACTCTGGGTTTTTGGGGGAAGTTGGGATCAGTTCGGGGGTCGGACTCCTGATTTTCAGAGGTTTGCTGAGGTTTAGATGTATTTTTGGCTGCAGAAGAAGGGCCTCCTGCAGCAGAGTGTGAAGCGATCTGAGGAAAGCCAAGAATAGCTGCTGAGAGCATCAGAGAGGCCTGTCAGCTGGGGCCATGGCTTTTTAAGGGAATCAGCAGCAGGCGTATCAGTTGCAGCTCCAGCAATGTGCCACATGGTGGCTGTCAATCAAAGCACGGCGGGTCAGGGCGGGGGTGCAGGGGTATTTTTGGTCACTGCCATATCTGTCGCTCAGATGTTGGTCTGTAAATACCAGCAGGGCAGGTCCGGTTCTGAAGCAGGGTTCCCCTCATTGATCCATGTTGTTATTGGATCAGAACCGAGGCTGCGATCGGTCTGAGCCCAGATCAGCGAAGCAGCAGGCGTCCTGATGAAGGTGGAGGAGCTGAGTCACAAATTTACACTTTTAGTCTTCCGGTGGATCGTTGGCCTAGTGGGTCAGAGCAGTGGACCTGTATGCTTGGAAGGTTCCAAGTACCCGGTTCGATCCCCACAGCCTGCTCTCTGGGTCCCTGAGCAAGACCCTTAACCCTTTAAAGCCTGAACCATGAAATGATTGACAGAACATTCAAATTTTTCAATAGGAGAATGTCATTAAGTTTAATTAGATCATTTATTTGCATCAAATTGGAGACATTAGGCAATTCTGTATAATCTTTTATACATTTTCTGTTCACTGTCTAAATATTTAAGTCAGTGTTTCAACAACAAAAGCATCGCTCTGATGAGGCAAAGTCTCAAAAAGTCATGGATCCAATGTGCTGCCCTGGGCTTTAAAGGATTAAACACGGAGGGTTCATTTCTCCACTGGGAGACAATAAAGGGATTTAATTTTTAATTAATAAAAATGAATAAGTCAGCTGCTCCTCTGATCCAGGTTCTGATGGTTGACCTCACCTGGAGACCTGGAAGAACTCAGACTGGTTCTGGTATCAGCAGCAGGTCCAGAACTGATCCTGAACTTTCTGCAGGTTTATAGTAGATTCTGATTCTGTGCCTCTCATGTTTGGAGATCAGATGAAGAGGAACCTTCTGGGATTTAGGTCCCACACACAGATAGAAATATGTCACCCAGAGCCGCATGAGGTTATTTTAATAAACAGAGCTTTGGTCCTGATGCCGACCGGCTGCATCTCGCTTTTATTAATGAGGAAACTTTTTAAAGATATGTCTTTGATAAAAACTGTTTTTCTATGTATTTCTGTTTAACCCTTTAAAGCCCGATCCAAGAATAAAACAAAACAGAAAATTACTTTGTTTGGTTTGAAGTCCCTTTTTGGCCTTTTAACAAAATATGTAAAAAGAAAAAACAGAAATACATTTTTGATATTAATAATTTATTACTATGCAATGAGTCCAGATTATTTTTTGTGTAGTCTTCTGCCCTCTGTTATCAGGTATATCTGATTGTGTACAATAGGATTTAGAGCAAAGTTTTTACCATTAAATTATGCAAAAGGTGTCAGACGCAAAACATTTCAGAAACCGTATGTATCAAATATGATACATTTGGCATTAAAGGGTTAATTATTTAAAGTTTCATATTAAGGGAAACGTTGAGGTTTTATTTCTAGAGGAACAGAAAGTCAGAAGATCCTGGACTTTAATTTATCGTAACTGTAATAAAATACTGCTGTCGGTTTATTTCTGTTTTTATTTTATTTTTTAAGTTTAACTACAATAGTTGTTTTTTTATTGTAATTGAAATAAATAGAGATTAAAGGGAAATATTTTTATAGTTTTTATGTCTTTTTT